CTGTTGCCTTGAACATGGTTTGTGTTATCTCTCCAAAGTGGTTGTGTCCAGAGGGTGTTGTCTGAGGGCAGTTTTCCCCTTTCATCTTTACCAGAACACAGAAAGGCAAGTGAAAAATTACAGACCAAAGAAGGTCTCCTTGCTCCTCCAAGTACCAACCAAGATAGAGCAATGACCTCTGGGTCCTCCTACCTCTTCCTCCAGATCAGTGTTCATTGAGGCCACCCAAGCAGCTAGCAATGTGCCAAGCCACTCAGCTGGTCGTGGAGGATCACAGAGGCTCCTGGATGGGTGCTTTGGTGGGTGGGGTGGGGGGTGACTTTTACCCAACCCTTAAAGCTGAACATTGTGGAAGCTTCTACTCTATGGAATGACCCAAGGCTACATTGTATCCCTCACTGAAGTCTAGTAGAGGGAAGCAAAGATTCCCTTCACTCCTGGAGTGCTCCCTGCCTGCCCCTTTGTCTGTCCCCACCCCCTGACGTGGCCAGAAACTATGGGTCCACAAAGCTGGCAATTTTTTTTTTTAAGGCTGTCAATCTTCCCTCCAGTTGCAAAGATAACTTGAAGGGGACTCTCTCCCATCTGAGTGGCCTGAAGCTCACATCATAAGAAGTGGGTTTTCCCAAGAGAGGCTACCACAGAGCAAGCCTTTTTCCTTGTGGTCTGGCATCCTGGGCAGCTTCCCATATGGAAAGAAATGCAGACAGTGGTCAACAGGCTGTTGGTCAGTGGGGGCCAGGCTCTGAATCTTGCAATTGTGTTCCAACTTCTCTTTCTTGCTTCATAACCTTGGGCTAACCCCCATACTCACAAAGCTGCCACCTTAACTTGGGGGCATGGGGCCCTGGGGAGTGTTCACTTCCTGTCCCTGCCCAGGAAAGGTCACCCCAACAGGTCTGGGGACCTTTACAGACTCAAAGCAAACCAAAATTTGGTCTCAGCAAGGTACTCCCCCCAGGATACTTCCCCAGCTGTCCAAAGCTGCCCTGATCCCTGTCCCTAGGTGAGGATTATTCTGGCCAGATCTACCCCAAAGCCTTTTCTGTTCAGATTTACCTGACTCTGTCACACTGGGGGCCACCTGCTCTTCAGCTCAAGCCTTGATTTCTTAGATAGGAGAGGACACTTCTGTCAGAATGTTCTTGTCCTACCTACCCTAAAGGTGATCTAGCCCTCCCAGGGGGTTCCCAAGGAGCAAGCATTGTCCACTGACAGCATTGACCTTGGCTTATGCTACTTTCTAACTTTCCATTTCAACTCTGAGATGTTGGGAGCAGGATTGCTCAAAGTACCGATCCTGTAACTTGAACTAGTTAATTTGGTTTCTTGAGTCTCCTTTTTCTGTCTGTAAAATGGAATAGATAATGGGAGTTTCTAGTTATTGTCTGGCTCCTGAGGGCAGGTAAGAGTTGTACATTTTGTGAACCATGAAGCTGCCTCTCAAACACTGGGCCTCCAAGCCCAGAACACATGCTCCAGGTAGTCAGCCTTGACAGGTAGTGCTTGGAAGGCTCTTCCTCGATGATTGAGGGTAGAGGGCAGCATTCCTGGCAGCCTGTGGGTATGGCCTGCTAGTTCCCCTGGCCCTGCCCAGCAGTGTTCTAGTTTTTGATGTCAATTAGTCCTGCTGACTTCATCAGGGAGGAAGCTTGGGAAGATAACCAGGCAGGCCCCGAGTGTAAACAATAGCAGGGGCAAGAGCCTAAGAGGGGGAGGGAGGGACTCAGAACCCAGAAAGGACTAAATTGGAAGGTTCTGCAAGTGGCTTAAGACCTCTCTGGTGGGTTACTTAATGGGAGGAACAGTCATGTTTCGAGGCAATGTGTGGCACTAGACAGGATCTCAGGAACCAGGGAGCCCATGTATGAGAGAACACCCAGGAGAGAGGGTGCTGGCCATAGCTGGCCAGACGTCCAGAGTCACATGATCCCAAGTATCAGGTCAAAAGCTGAATACTTCCATTTGTAGACTGGACAAATGACAGGGGGGGGGGGCAGGCTGGCAGTGTCTAGCTCAGGAAGGTTCCACAATGTTTGGGTTGAGCCTATATGTCCCTGATCCCAGGGCCCCTCTAAATCTGAACCCAACTGTGTATGCACAAAGTCAGCAACAGGCTGGGACATCCATTGGCTGTCAGGAGTCAGGCACAGGTGAAGTTCTTCTGTGACAGCATGAAGAGGGTGGCTGTGGGTAAGGCAGCTGGTTAGGGACCTTCTAAATAGACATGGAAGAAGGTGCTTGGATCAGGATTCAGCAAGGGAAGTATATAGCAGTCAGGGCAGAGATGAGCCAGGTAGCTTGGAAAGCAATCAGGAGAGCTGGGTGTGTGCATTCCGGTGTAGAGTCCCACCTCCCAGGGCTGATCCAGGCTCTGTAGGTGTTTCCAAGGCTGTCAGCTGTTGTGCCATCTGCTTTCACACCCAACAACTGATGAGCCCCAGGGATTCACAGGCAGTGGGGGGAGGGGAGGCCTGCAGCTGCTTTCCACACAACAACCTCCTTCCTTCCAGCCCCAATACTGTGCTCATATGGTCCACAGCCTGGAGGGTCTGAGCCCATCCATACTGTCCACCTCAGCTTCACAAAGTCTTCCCACAACACAGCCCTCATTAGGGTGCCCTCCCCTGAGCAGAGGCTCCCCAGCCAGTCCTGGAAATGCAGCTACCCAGGCTAACAGCCTAATGCATTAGTTGGTCAGGGTCACCACTGATTCAACATCTGGTACTGCTTCGTGATGCTGGTTCACAGAGGCTGGAAGACCAAGACCAAGGGTCCATCAGGCTGGTGTCTCCTGAAGCCTGCAGATGGTCATTCCTCTAGTACTTTTTATAGGTGTTCTGTGTTCAAATCTCCCCTATACTGAGTACACCACTCAAAATGGATTAAGTCAACCCTAATGGTCTAACTTGTTTGTACATGTGTTCATATGTGTGTAGGTGCACATATGTGGGTGAGTATGTCTGGAGGCCAAGTGGCAAATCTCTGTCCATGAACTAAGCTATTGCCCCACCTCCTAAAGGCCTTATTTAATCACCTCTTTAAAGGCCCTATCTCCAAATAAGTCACTATCTATGACACTCAAACATGGAGCTTTGGAATTTGAATAGGGTTTACACTTCAGTCCACAGCAGCCACTGGGGGACCCTGGGACTCACTAGTGGGCTAAGTCCACATAGGGACCTCTTCTCAGATTCTCTAGTATTTTGTGGTCTGTGTGGTTGTGTTTTCCTGGAGGGAGCTCCTTTCTGTCGGGCTAGGATGGAGTCAAGTCCTCTTGGGGATCCTGTCTGACTACAGAATTCTCAGGCCAATGTGGACCTTTATAAAACACTGAATGATTTTCCAGGCATGGTGGCTCAGACCATTCATCTCAGCACTTGGGAGGCAGAGGCCAATGGATCTTTAAGTTTGAGGCCAGCCTGGTCTATAAAGTGAGTTCCAGGACAGCCAGGGCTGTTACACAGAGAAACTGTCTCAAAAAACCACAAGGCAGTAACAACAATAGTAAATAAAGGGCTACATGGTTAAATGCAGAGGGGCAGGAAGTCCAAAAGAAGTGGTCCCAGCAGAGAAGCTAGTGTTCTAGAGTCCCTAGCTCCCAATGCCCTTGCCTGGCACAACCCCTCACATGTTAGAGGTGGCATCATTCACCTAGCAATGACACCAGGTTTCTAAAGAAGTTTCATGTCCACATTCTCCAAGCCTCCTCATGACAGCTGTGAAAGGAAAGAGCTGGAAGAGCCATGCTACAACTAATCACTGAGCTAAATCAGACCCAGCTTGTTCAAGGGTGGGGCTAGGACTCTGCCAGGGCCTAACCAACACTGCAGGGCTGTCCTGGAGCCTAGAACTGGGTTGGGCTTCCAGGAAGCGAGTGATTCATGGCTGTTACTGCGCTGCAGATGGACACAGGGCACTGACAGGATCAGCCCTGTCCCTTAGCCACCCAGTACCAGGCACAGCAGCAGGATTGCTGACAGGGAGAACAGGTGACTCTCCAGCCTTCTTGAAGTCAGACCCTGTAGTGAGGCTTGGCTCTGTCACAACAGAGCTCTGCACTCTTAGGCCATCTGAGCAAACTGTTCATTGGTCAGCTGTGAATAGATGCCATCATGCAACCAATATTTGATTAGGAACACTATGTGCAGGGACCATTTTAGACACTGGAGACAGTAAGAGACAAACCCATATGCCTATGTAATTTTCACAGAGAGGGGTGAACATGCTTTCAAGACAGTGCTGAATACTGCCCTACTGTGCCTTGGGATCCTTTAGCTCTAAGAGTGAGAGTCCAGGAAGACATCTCTGAGGCAGACATGTTGAGCTTGTCCCATCAGGAATAGCAACTCAGGTTCCTTGGGCCTGTTAGGGAAGAAATAGTCAAGTGACTGACATGAAGACTCCTTCCCCATCTCTCTGGTGACATTAGACCCACATCCAGCCACACATTGAGCTTCTATGCCTTGGAAGGTAGCCCTCCTCCTCCTAGCCTTCCCTTGCCTGCTGGGGCCAGCCTGCAGCACTGTTCCCAGCCACCAGGAGACCAAGATCTAAAAAGAGACAGATGCCCAAGGTCACATCGCTCGTGGGCGCACACCGGCTGTTCCAAAGCCTCCCACTGCCAGCACACAACCTCTTGGGCAGCATTTCTGCGCTGCCGGGGATTCCGCCTGTCATTACAACCCTCCCCCGCCCATCCCGCGTGCAGACCCAGCAGCGCCCAGGAACAGCGAGAGCCACAGCCTCGAGACGTTCAGAACACCGGGTCGCTTCGACCGCACTCCCCACGCCCAGGCCCCTCAGGGCCCTCCTCTAACCCCTCCCGTTTCTTCCTAGGCCTCCTCTGTGTCCCAACCTAGGCTCCCTGGATCTTCTGTTCCTTCTGTGTCCCCAAGTCCAGCGTCTCCTGTCTTACCCTGGTCGCCTCCTCCCGGGTCTCCACACCCCGCCCCGGGTCCCCGCCGCCCTCTCTGCGTACTGGGTGACGCAGCGCCGCCTCCCGCTCCCGCTCCCGCCTCCCCGCGACACCGCCGGGCTGACTGCAGGGGCCGCTAACGGTCCCGCGCCCCCCGGCGTCCGCGCGCCCCGCGCCCGGCGGACGAGGCCGCGCCGGCGGCGATGGGCGCGATGGGGGCGGCGGAGCCACTGCAGTCGGTGCTGTGGGTGAAGCAGGAGCGCTGCGCCGTCAGCCTAGAGCCCGCGCGGGCGCTGCTACGCTGGTGGCGGAGCCCGGGGCCGGGTCCCTGCGCGCCGGGTGCTGGTGAGTGTGGCAGTCCGGGGCTGATGGGGCTGGTGCAGCATCCACCCCAGGGCCTGCGCAGCCGGAGCGCTTCGGGCAGCCGGGGTTGGGCGGACCCGGGAGAGAGAAAGAGACCTGGGGCACTGGGAGAGGCATCCAGGGCACCTGAGGTGCGGAGGATCGGAGGTGCAGGGCCCTGGTGCCGGGCGTTCTGAGTATTCCGCGGCCGCTGGCGGGGAACCGTCCCGGCGCTGAGGGCCCAGACACTCCAGGAACTGGGATGACAAAGCCTCTGGAGGTGCTGGAGGGGGAGGGGACGGGCCGGCGTCCGCAGCCCCCAGCGCATCTGCGGGATCCCAGGGGAGGTCTGTTGTTGGTGCTGTCGTGGGGATGCTCAGGCACACCTGGAGAAGACTGGTGTCTAGTCACCCCTTTCCTCCAATATAGTGAAACGAAGCACAGACACATGCTTCCCTACTGGAGAAGCCCAGAGGCACCCTAGTAGGGACTTTAAGTGATTAGGCAGTAAAGCACCGGGCTTTGACTTTGTTGGGGATGCACCCTGCTCAGAGGCCTTCCGGGATGAGAGAAGAGTAGCTCAGGAGAGGTGCAAGCCACCCGCAGTGGCTGAGCTGGTACAAGGACACTGGAGCCTCTCTGGACTTTGTTGCAGGTCTGTCTGGTGGCCTAGGGATTGACAGAGGTTTATAAAGATGTCATTGAGTCCTCTTTCAAAAGAGGATTACAGAAGATTGTGTGTGGACACCAGGGGCAGGAGCACCCAGGGGTGGCCTTGTGGATGTATTCAGTTTCAGGCATCCATTGCTTTTTGTTTGATTTTGGTTTTCCCTGTGTGGCTCAGGTCAGCCTCAAACTGGGAACACAGACATGTGCCACCAAGCCCAACTTTAGTTTGTTTTCTCTCTTCCTCTTTCTTTGCTGGGAATGATAGAATCCAAGGCCTGGGGCTTGCTAAACACAGGCATTACCAACAAACAGCAAACATGATCTGCAAGCTTCCCTTGGGTGCCTGCCTGCTAGGGATGGGCCTAGGGATCCTAGCTTGGGCTCAATACGTATGAAGTCTGAAGCAATGGGGTGCATTTTCCATTTAAGGAAGCACAGAGGGACACATGGGGATAAATGTGTCTGATGGATTTGGATCCTGAGAAGAACCTCTGAGAGTAGGTATTGAGGGTGAACCTCTAAAAGATGGTCACTGACCAGTACAGGGTGGGCTGAGTAGGTCTCAATTACATGGTAGCATTTGCCCAGAGACCTGGAGAGGCTGAGTGTTGATATGTACATGGGGGGTGAGAGGGGGATGACTGATAGAGGCAGGAATAGCATCAAGACATGGCTGTGTCAGAGTCAAGGTTGATGGGGGGAATGGCTGGAGAATAGGGTCTAGTCCTCCTGCAGCCTGGCAGGCTGAGGTGGGAACTGGCCTTTATTGTCGGTATAAAGAGAATCCCTGGAGGGTGGTATCCAGCTTACCTTTTTGCAAAGACCTGGTGATCTCTTCAGGGAGTCAGTGAGAGTGGGAACAGAACAGAGTGGGGGAGAAGCAGTTGACCGCGTCTAGGTGGAGATGGTGGAGGTAGGCAGGGTTGAGTGTAGTGGGGTTGACTCTCACTTTGCAAAGGTACCTGTGGGAGAAGCATGGATTTTTTTTTTTTTTTTTCCTTTTAAAAATTGTTGAGAGTAGGAGTTGTGGGAGTCAGGACTCTCAGGTGGACATTCTGAGTTTGGGATGTCGATCATCCATTTACTCATTCAACCCAGGATGGCTTTTTGGTGTCCTGTGGGTAGTTGGGGGTATAAGTATTCCAACACTGTGCCGCAAGGCTCTTCAGACTAGACTAGGGCTAAGGTGACCTCAAACTGGTGACCAACCTGGTTTCTGGCCTTGGGATCAAAGCAGCATTGTCTTCAGAGTGACTTTCTGTGGCTCAGTGCCTGGGACTTGATTACCCTGAAGTCTTTCTATGTGCTCTGGCGCTACCTCCCGGAGTTACTTCTCTCTTGTTCTCTGACTTTACCACTGTTCTGCCTAGGCCTGAGTGGGTTGAATTTCAGGTAAGTAAGCCTCTATGACCCAGAGTCTAGGCTTAGGATAAGAATGCTGTCACATGGGGTGCTCAGTATGTGTGAGCTGCTGGCCTCTGCTTCGTGTCATATACATTAAATGGGCTCCAGGGTGGGGCTGTTCTTCTGGCCCAGCTAGGACTTGCAGCTGAGCAAACCCAATTCCATGAGATATAGCACTGCCTCTTTTGGGTCTGGAAGGCCATAAAGGCATGGACAGGGCCCACTTCCCTTCATGGGCTGTGGGGTGGGACATCATCCACTGCCTGTTGTTAACGTTGGCACAGCACAGTTGCAGTTTCTGGTGCCCACATTCTAGGTTTGGTTTGCTGGCAGTGTCTACTTTTAGTCTGCTTGTTTTTGCTGGCAGGTGGCTTCCCCAGCTGGCCAGCTCTATGGAGTGAGTATTGCATCACCCCTGTGAAGTGTGTAGCTACTTTTGTGTAGGCTTATCCAGAACCATCTGATAGTAGTCCAACAGACCTGTCCTCTCTAGCACTGGCTGTGAGGGACCAGTTGATAGGCTGTCCTAGAAAGTACTCTGCACACTTCCCCTTTCCTGGCACTCTCCACCTCCACATGAATACGAAAACAAGTTTGCAAACTCTAGTTTAGGAGGAAGAGGGGAAGGGAGAACCAAGATGCCTCCTCCCTACCTCACCCCCACCCCTGTTTTCAACCCCCAAAGAATTAGGCCTACTTCTTAGAGTTAAGGTGAGCTTGAAGTCTGTGGGGTCCGGAGAGCAGGCTATAAGCAGTTCATGGCACATTGAATTCACTTAGCCAGTGGCACTTCCAATCTGCCACTCCCCCAGGTGTGTCTGGACACACCTGAATTGCCTGGGTAGGGACCCATGGGCAAAGGATTGTGCAAAAAACAGATTGTAGGACCTGTGAGAGGCTGGCAGCCCTGGAACTCCAGGACAGCCCTTAGGGACACTGGGCACCCATCTGGGTATTTCATTTATTCCTCATTCTCTCCTCCTTTAGACATGAGAACTGGAAGATATGAGTTGCTTGTTCCCTCCCTAGGTGCCTGGTGCACAATAGAAGCAGGCTCTGAATCCAGGCACACACTCTTTCTGGGGCCTGTGTCATGGTTGCTCTCTGCCAAGTGCCCAGAAACAGAGATAAGAACTCAATCCTGGGAGCAGGAGATAGGTACTGGAGGAAGCTGATCCAGCAAGGGCTTCTCCAGACCACAGCCTAAGCGGAAGTGGGGCAGACTAAAAACAGGAAATGTGGGGGGTGGGGAGGCCTTCCCTAAGTGGGTCACTAGTTGAACTTGAGGCAGCCTGGAGTGATGTCTGGGCTTCTCGTGGCTGCGATAAGGCACACTATCAATTCCACATTTGTTCTTTCATAGTACTTGCTGTGTGTCTGTGTGTGTGGAGGGCTCAAGAATGGCACTAGGACCACTGCCTAGGCTCCACCTTTGTGGGGAGAACCTCTCTTATCTTCTACCAGTCTCTACCAGCCTCCAGTTGGGTGCCCCAAAGCTGGCAGTGAGTTCATGGGCAAGTCACAGCTGTCTTTGCCTACATCCTCACCGTCCCCCACCCCCACACACCGTGGGTCAAGAATGAGCAAGCTCACAAAAATAGGTCATGGGACTGAGGGTATAGCTCAACTGTGGAGTGTTTGTCTAGCAGACACCAAGCCCTAGGATGTGTCACCAGCATCCCCTTGCAAAAAACATGTGATGATTTAATAAAACCTTGAGTCTGGAGACATGGCTCAGTAGTTAGAGCATGTACTGCTCTTGCAGGGGACCTAAGTTTGATTCCCAGAACCCACATCAGGGTAGCTCACAACCACCTTTAACTACAGCTCCAGGGGGATCTAATGCTTCTAGCTTCAGTGGGCACCTGTACTCATCTGCACTTAACTCTCTCACACACAGACATAATTTTAAAATAAAAATAAATCTTCCTTTAAAAAATCTAGAAAGCGGAAAGACTACTTTAGTATTATACATACAAAGTGCTTAATGCTTGGTGTGATTGTGTATGCAAATATGCGCAAAAGGAAAACTAGGGAAATAGCTATAGGCTGTTTTCCATATTATCTTGCTGCCTTGAAACATGGCTTTTTATTTTAAAGAACAGCCTCACTGAGATTTGCTTCTCCTGCAATAAAACCCTCATATTTTAAGGGCGCCGTTCCATGTGTTTTGATAACTCTGCACCTGTGTAAACATAGCCAAGATAGGGTGTAGGAACCACAGCCCAGAACCTCTCCCTGCCCCTATGCAGTTCTGGGGTAGATCTCAGCCCAGCTGTCTCCAAGGGACAGGTTTCACTCTGCAAGTGGTTCACAGAAACACAGCCACACAGTCTAACTCTGTACCTGACAGGTCCATCTCTTCCTACTGGATTTATTTATTTACTTATTGGTTAATCAAGACAGGGTTTCTCTGTGTAATAGTCCTGGCTGTCCTGGAGCTCATTTTATGGACAAGACTGGCCTTGAACTCCCAGAGATCCTCCTGCCTCTGCATCCTGAGTGCTGGGATTAAAGGCATATGACACCATCACCTGGCTCCTTACTAGTTTTAAACACCATGTGACTGTAATTAATTCTTTTTGGCTTAAATCCTATTTGTGTGTGTGTGTGTGTGTGTGTGTGTGTGTGTGTGTGTGCGCACACATGCGTGCACACATGTAGTTTACACATTGATGCCTTCTTGGACTTGTTTTCATTCTAGGATCCTTTGGGGACATCTGCTTTCCCTTTTTCTTGTGTGCAACTTAAAAGGAGAAAGCAGGATCCAACTAGATCAAGATGAAGGACTGCCACGTATGCTTTTTATTTGTTGTGTTTTATTATCTGAAAAGTTACTACTACACCTTTGTTGTTGCTGTTTTGAGATTGGGTCTTCCTTTACAGACCAGCCTGATCTACGTAGCTCAGGCTGACCTCACACTTGAAAC